AAATGATTTCTTTGTCTTCACAATATTTTCCTGAATTAAAAGTCAGTTCGTATCCTCACCCTACAGATAAAGAGAGTGAGGCCTGGTACTAGAAGCCAGTTCTCCTGTTGTAATGTTCTCTCAGTTTATTTGATATCATCTTTCTGCAATAACTTAGCCTTGTGGATCGTGGATATCACAACTTAGTATATTCCCCATTTATATCCCTGTGGGTCATAGGAGTATAAGTCAATAACATGTTGAAAGGTTGTTGCACTCATCTTAGAAGGTCCACATATATTGAACAAAAAATAAATTTATTAAAAGAGGTTAATTAATTCAGAGGATAAATATGATTTTTATGTCCCAACAGAGGTAAATTTATATGGATTTTCTCCATGGAATAAAATAAAATGTTGTTTACCTTTTGCAATTTATGAAGTAACAGTTCTTTACTCCCTCACATTTCTGGGAAACAGCTTCAAGTAAATTTTTCTGAACTGTTCCTTCTTTGCTTCTTGTATTAATATGCCCTGCATATTTTTATTAGTAAAAGAGAATAAGGTATAAACACACACCAGAGGACAGGAATATAATGCATGCTGCTTGACATGACTGCACAATAGCATGTTGATGATTAATTCCGAAGAAGGCAGATTTGACTTTGTTTTCTCATTTGTTTTGTTACCAAATTTATTGAATGCACTCTATTAGACTGTGTATACAATAATATGCATCTCGTTCAAGTACCAAAATGGTCTTCAAAACAATTTATATATGTGGTGGTATATATGTACAACAATTTTGGAATAACTCTGGGTATAAAACTGATCATATATATCATTTCAATTTAAAGCAATATGAGTACTAAAAATGGAAATATATGAATTTGAATGTATACAAACCTGACTTTTAGCAAAATAAAAATGAAAGGAATAAAGGAATCTGCCCACTCAAGGAAATGTTTTTATTCAGTGACTAAGCAGAGTAAGTACTTCAGTTTCTAATGGTGGTCCCTGGCTTGTGTCTTGTGGTAGCAGCAATTTTGTGTAGAGGGATCAGTCAGTTCCATGAAACTGTATATAAATATGTCTGCTTTCATGAAATAATCAGTCTGTGACTTGAAATGTGTAACGACCATTGATATAGTATGCTCTTATTCCCAATACAGTATCAAGCATACAATAAATATGTGAGCAGAAGACACAAGTATGTTGACAAAAGTAGAAACAGGTGGAATAAATGCCCCAAACAGGCTCCACTTTATTAATAATAAATGAATCAAACTATAGCTCTAGTATCTTCTATCTGATAAAGCAGTAATCACTTAAAAGCAACAAATCTATCCACAGCACATATACCACTGAGAGTATAATTCAAAAGCTTGTCATCTCATTCTCTCTGATAGCAGTTTAAAATGTGTGTGATGTTCTGTTATATTTAACCTATTTATTATGATATGATGTTATATTTAACCAAAGTTATAAGGATTTCTATAACTATGACCCACTAATTTATCCTATGGATATCCTATAATTTAACCTATAACTGAAAGATAAGGCACCAATGTATTCCTTATAGTGTAAATTTCAGTAAAAAGCAAAAATAAAACCAAAACAAAAGAAAAAAAAACAGCCACATAATATTTAGGATGAAATTAAGGAAAACAGGGCCCAGTGCGATGGCATAGTGGTTAAAGCCCTCGCCTTGCACACGCCAGGATCCCATATGGGTGTCAGTTCTAATCCCGGCAGCCCTGCTTCCTATCCAGCTCCCTGCCTGTGGCCTGGGAAAGCAGTTGAGGACGGCCCAAATCTTGGGACCCTGCACCCGCATAGGAGACCTGGAATAGGCTCCTGGCTTCAGATTGGCTCAGTTCCAGCCGTTGCGGCCACTTGGGGAGTGAATCGTCAGGCGGAAGATCTTCCTCTCTGTCTCTCCTCCTCTCTGTATATCTGACTTTCCAGTAAAAATATAAAAAGAAAGAAATTAAAGAAAACAACACTATTGTGCTTGTGTGAAAGATATGAGGATTGAAATGTATACACATGACAGTATGGGATACTTTTCAAATGTTAAAATATTTCCATATTTTATATGGCAAAAATCGAAACACTGACCATCAACAAGCAAATATATTATCATTATTATTTAAAATATCGACAGTCAATGCGACAAACATCATAAGGGAGGTTCAATATTCAATTGTTGATAGGTTGTAGGTTCTGAATTGCAGAATTCCAGGATGCCTTTGATGTGGATTACAGCATATAAGGATCCCCGGGAATTGGAACAAACAAGAGGCTCTAAATTCAGCCATGTTTTGCATCTGTACTAATATGTTCAAGTTTTGTATATCTGCTTACCTTATGGCATACTGTATTATTAATTATGTAATTAGAGTGTAAATGAAAGATGTCTAAATATGACAAACCATGAACTGTGATTCAGATAATCTATGTTAAGTTCATTTCTGTCACTTGCTAGCTTTACTCTTTATGACTTTGAATCTTTTATGTATTAAATAACAATTAATTATGCATTAAAATTATAACAGTAAAACAGTCTTATAAAAAGCACTTATATATTCAATCATACAATTAGCTATGTTAATACTTATGATTCTGAAGAAACTACATGCTCCCACACCAGAGTAGAATATTAACAGTTAATTCATTGGAGGCATGTTTTTCTTTTATAAAAGGAAATGGAAGATGAGAGAATATCTAGTACAGATGCTTGTATGTTAAAACTCACCTTCAGTGCTATTTATACAGCGAATGTGTAACATTTTGCACATTATGCCAAGGATTCTTTGCTGCCTTCAAGGCCTGTCTAAAAACACCACTGTACATTTAATTGAAAAGAATAAAAATATTGTTTTACTGCACATTTTTCACTAAAATGACCCTGAAACAGCTCTCTTCACATGGCTTCTTAGTTAGCTTTAAGTGGGGGTCATTGAATATGTTTTAACAATTTCCAAACATATGCTTTCAAAGGCCCATACCTTAGTCCATTTTCTGTTGCTATAATCAAACATCAGAAACAGGATAACTTACAGAGAAAGTTTGTTGAGCACATGGTTCTAGAAGTCCAAGAGCATGGCACTGGCTTCAGTTGAGTTTCTGGCATGGATCTGTTGGTAGAAGGGGGGAGGTCAAATGGGAATGTTTGGAAGAGAAAAAGCAGAAAGGCCTACATCACTTTTTGTAACCTGCTCTTAAAATAACTAAATGGCCCAGTGCCCTGGAAGTATAAACTCACTTAGTAGCACAAAATGACTATTCATTAGGGCCCTGCTCCCATTACCAGAACAGTCCCATTGGGCATCACTTTCTATAACTTCTACATTGAGGTACTAAGGCTCAGGCAAGTTTTGGTGGGAACAAACCCAACAGACTCATGTGACTGATGTCTGATGGAGAAGGTATGCATGTGCATGTGGGTAAAAACACATGATTGCTAATGGTGTTGTTTTCCTAAAGGCATATAAGAAATAGACATAGGGACCAGTATTCCTGCAGTAAGTCTATGAAAATGGTTAAATTTTACCATGTGAAATATTCCATTTCTTATGGTTTTCAAAAGTGTATGCAATTGTGGAAACCAAAAAATTTAAAGGAGATTAAATTAGAGTTGAAAATGGTCACTATTGTTATGTATCTGCACCTGCCAACAAATGGAAGACTTTAATATTGTAATTTACCACACATCATGTAGATGACTTTAATGTTGTATTTTACCGCACAACTTGTAGATGATGCTGATATTGATCACGTGTATGTGGCTTATGGGCATAACACTATTAAATAAGAATACATTTTATGATGGTAAAGAATTTCTCATTTAAGAATAGTTTCAACTCTGTCATTTATCCTCTATCATTTCTGAGATTGATTAAAATGGCCACTCACTGACTAATATTATAATTTAGATAAACTGGTATTCTTAGTGCATGCATCCATTATGGAAGTTATTCTTTACTATATGTCATCTGTTTTTGGAAGCAGTGGATGCTTAATACTGAAAAATAATACAAAAGCAAATAGCTTTACTTTGCCAGGGCATATCAGTAATGGTTCTTTTGACCCAAATAAATAAGGTATGAAATTTTCCAGGTTTAAGTATCTCATAGATAGACTCATCAATTGGACATTGACTGATATGAGTACACTAACAGTAATTCAAAGGTAGGCTTTGGCTTCGAAAGAATATTTTCAAAATATCAAGATTGATCATTTTTGTGTTCATTTGACTCAGTGCTGGAGTAGGAGAACATTTTACAATCATGAACTCTGTGAAACTGGTTTTAATAAATTTTCAGTTTAATACCTTGACCTAAATGATTGGGGACTTTTTGTTTCAGTATTTATGTGTAAACTATGATGAGTAATACTTGCATTTTTATGTAAAATTTCCTGACTCTTGGATGAAAAAAGGTACTAGAAAATGTTGAGTTGTACCATACTCCTTGTATGAAGAATTTGCATGTTTAACAAATGTATCTTGGAAGCTTTTCCTCTGTGCTGACAGTGTGCTGCTTGCTGCGATGGGAAGATACAGAACTCTGCTCATCCCGGAGCCTCCCCTGTGAGGGCGGCAGGCCCTGGTCGGGGGGTGGAGACTTTGAGGAGCAGGGCTGAATCGCTTCCATGAGGATTGGGCCAGGGAGGCTCAGAAATAGTTTTGATAAGTAGTGATACCTGATAATTTACTTCAGTTATTTTAGAATATATAATTAACATAGGGAGACATTCCCCTTACTCAGATGAGATTGTTTTTCTGCAGTGTCTGTGCAATATTTTAATTACCGGTGACTAGACTATACCAGTTATTTTACAGAAGTAATTTGAGTCCTAAATATCAACATCACTGCTCATGTTTAACTTGATCTGTGAATAACTTCATTTCTACATTTAAAATAACCCTAACACATAAAAATAAAAACTGTTTTAAAGATTTTCAAATATGAATAATGTAAAATTTCCTCATGACTCGATATTTTGTTCACATTGTAGATGAAAGAGAAGATGTTCAAAAGAAAACATTCACAAAATGGATAAATGCACAATTTTCTAAGGTAAGAATGTTCTATTACTTCTCTTTCAAGATAGGGTTTGCAGAATTTTTATGTACCTGTGTATTTTAGATGTCAAAATCATTTTCTCATATTTTCAGACTATTTTAACTGCACAGACCTGGGAATTTTAATTTTAATTTTTAATATTTTATTTAACATATACTCAGCAGAAGATATGACAAAGATAAATTATTTACTTTTATAAAACATGTTTCTTGCACATACCTTCAAGTAGACAGGAATTCAAATGGAGGAGTAAGACTACTTGAGACAGACTGACTGCGTGTCATTTAAAATTGATTTTCTTCTGCATGACATATAATCTGTAGGTTTGGCCTCTCCCTATTGGTATAGGACAATGTAACTGAGCTATATTTTTACATATTAATTTTATTAATACATATTCCAGCTGTAGCAGGTTTAGTTTAGAAAAATTTGTCTAGTTGTTGATAATGCAAGTTGCTTTAATAACATGAAGATTGTAAATATAATCATATCAAGTAACAAGAATATGTCTTATGTTAGAAGAAGATATAAGGAATTTTCATTTTATAACAACTATTATTTTTGTCCACTTTGATCTTTACCAAGTCCAAGACAAGTTAATAGTACCACTTGGGATTTATTCGGCCATGATAACATACAGCATATTTCAACTCACTTAAAATGGAATTTCGTCCTTCTTTTCTGCAGACACTAATCTACATTCTTAATCATATTTATTTTGCAAACATAGCACACCTCAAGGTCAATAGCAGATCTCTAGGTAATTATACCTCAACACAAAGTAATTTTTTTTATCTTGAAAATTGGCATCAAGGTTGTATTGAGAAGTTAGCTTAGGTAGAAGGTCTTGGGTTAGAATAGCTTAGATTTACATTTAATCATACTGGATTTGGGGCTAATCAGTTAAATATTTTAAGAGTCAATTTCCTTATCTTCTTACTGTGTGTGTATGTTTACATGCGTATTTTGAATGCCTACTTGATAACTCCAGATAATATGATTATAATGCTAATAAAACATGATCCCTAATTGCAAGGCTTCAAGTGCTAAACACTGTGATAATGTGTATTTTGCCTGGTTTATTGTAAGCATGTTGACTTATTATAAGGGAAAATTCCAAGCACAATGTTTAAAACTCCTAATACATTTGGGTTACTCTCTCCACAATCTGTCTCATTTTGTAACACTCTCCATACTGCATACAAAGCTGGAAGATAAGATCTTAAAGATTGTCTCTTTGCTGATTCTAGATATTTAAATATATAATTCATTTTATCTGATATTTGATAGCAGAATATTACCAGGCCCTATTTTACTATGTAAATAAGGATATATTACTCAAGTCTATTAAAAATTTTTTAAAGTATATCTAATGAGTTAGTCATTTCCGTCACAGAAACTTAAAAAAGAAAGGTAAACCTGTTGTGGAACATATACTTTTGCAAGCCATAGCTTCTCTTAAAATAAGTGCATGTAATAAAGGAAGAATAAAATACAACAACGTAAATGCCCAATGATAAATGGAAAATATTATCGAAGATTTTCAGAATGGAAATTTACAGTTCTCAAAATGTTTGCAAAATGGTTGTATGTGCATGGTTTAATTGTTGTTTGTAGTGTTTTCATTACAGTTTTAATTTCAGAATTTTGAAACAATTTTTATACTCACGTAGAACAATCAGAATTGCAAGCTTTCTGAAATAATCAGTGTAACAATATTCTGAATTGTTGCATCAAATCAGTGAGCCATTCCTATAAAGCATTAAACATGACAAAGACATACATTGTGAGTCCTGATTGCCACAATATAGATAAATCTTTACTCTCTATACCTTTATATTTCCAAGTATCATGTAGCACAACTCACCTGTTTATACCTGAACCAAACTTTGATTGGTGAAAACATTGTTCACCCTACCTTGCAGCATTTGCATATTTTCTCAGTGCTTAAAAATGCCCATGTCTTGCAATCTGTAGGATAATCACATACTTGATTATATTAAATCCCTTTTCCCAAATATTTTCATTCTCTTTTAACTGTGACCTATTTTCTGTTCCTTGTAAAGAGTCTCTGTAAACTTGTTCATTTAGATCAGGGGAGTCACTATCTTTCAAATATAGAAATGCCATTATCAAGCATATCCTAGACATAAGGAATATAAATACTTATAAAGATAAGGGGAAAAACTTAGAGGTCAAATGCTTGTGTGTTTGTGGTTGTGTGTTTACTTTTAATTTAGGAAATCTGAAAGATATGTTCTTCATGTTTCTGTCAGAATATCAGAGCTGTATAATTTTTAGGTGATTTTAAAAATAATTGGAATTAAGAGAAAACTAGTGGATTAATGTAAGCTACTTGATGATACTAACGGATGAACATAATTTGGAGATGTATTACTGAATTCTGGTTGATTACAGCAGTGTACATGTTTGAGCATGATTCTGGGCCTGAAGGACTCACAAAATGAGTTGCTGTTGAATCTCCTGAGTTTATGGGGCCTACATGAATATTTGGGAAATGTTGACTAATTACTAAATGGAATAAAAAATGCGTGCTTTTATGTGGGTAATCTGATCAGGCAGTATTCTAGGCTAAAGGGAATATGGACACGTTTATGAAAAAAGATCTAGCATCAGAACCCACTGAAGGCAGAAATTTTTATTTTCTTAGCCCCTCCCCCCATATTCCATAGGAAACATTGCACTATAAAAGTATAATTTAATATACTTAGTTAATCTGATGCTAGGTTCAGACAAAGGAAAATGCCTAAAGGGAAAATAGTTTATTGAATAGAACTAAGAAATATATTCAAAGCAGTGATAAGTTAGTTTCTATGTGGCAAATTAGATACAGATGTACACATAGACACAACAAAAAAAATGAATGCAAGTGAAACATTTATCAGTGAGGAATACATATTCTGACTTATATAATATTTGTAAAATAGACATCACAAAATAGGTCATTATCATTTTAGAAAACTACAGAAGCAATATTGTAAGGAAATAAAATGATTAAATATATCCTTATGATTTTGGTGTCATTCGAAGTCAAATGTGCCTTTTCAGTAACTCCAGCCGTTCTTTCCTCAGTACCATTTTGAATTAAGTCTTATCTCTTTCTCAAAATTTGTCTTCTATTAACCTTTGATTGCCAAAATTTCCACAACTGTGTGATTTATCACATCTGTTCTGTAAAGTGAAACATTATTTATCTCTAGCTAAATACAAAGCTATTTCTAGATAAGGTAAATTCAAGTTAAATATCCTATCTATGTAATTTGTAGCTATGTTGTAATCCTAAAAATGTTTAGTTCTTACTTCCCGATAAGTGCAATTTATAATCATAAAATCTTTCTCATTCACACAACCATATTCAAGGAAAGTCTAGTTTTGAAATCATGATCAAAAATAATTTTGTTGAGAAACATGCTTCAAGTTGTTTGAAGGAAAATAGTTTGTGAGAACAAATATTTATTTTTATGTCAATGAAAAGATACTGTTTGTATCTCATGATTTTATATCCCCATTTTCTCCTGAAAGTTACTTCTTTTATCTCTTCAGTTGCAACCATATAAGGACCAAAGTTCTTCTAAGAACCTTGATTTTCAGAACCAAAATTTTAGATGGGTGATGATTCTGAATACCTACTAATTTTTTTCTTGAATGCGGTTTTGGCATTTGTCATGAAACAGGGGGAACAAAACATTGTTTTGTCATCCTTAAGTACTCTCCATACCCATCTTTTTTATTATTTTGAATTTTATGGTACAATTAAATAAGGTCTGGGATTCCCCTCTCCCTGCCAGATTCCTTCCCCATGACTGATTTTTCTCATATTATTATAATAGTATAGTACTTCATAACAAGTTATTGTTCCATCAATCTGTTACTTAAGTGTACCCCGACATTGCTGGTACAGATAATGTCAGATGGTCCAGCATCCCATTATCTAGACATGTATTTTTTTCTCTTTTTTCATTTTGTCTTTGTTTTACCTCCTATCTCTTGTTGATCTTGTGGCTTCTCACTTAAGGGAATGTATAGTGGTGGCGTAATAAGAGACTACCATATGCAGATGTGGAGATGCAATGCAATGTGCATCCCTACTTCCAACTAAAGATGGACTCCAGTGAAACTGTTGAACATGTCATACCCATCTGTACTCGCAACACATACTCATATATATACACAGTCAGTAAGCATGGTATGTATTTGAAATGAGTTTAACTTTTAAATTTTATATCAAATCAGAAAAAAACAAGGATGTAATAACCCCCGATTTCTTCAAATGAAAGATACAGTATGCTCATTTCATTCTTTTGCATATGTTCTAAATATAAATATTCCAAACAAATTTTGATGTCATAATCATGCTAAATACCTTCTGTAATGGAAGTAATAAAGCAGAGCTCAGATGCTCTGGGAGATTAGCTATGGATATCAACAGACTCAGATGTCCTGTCTTCCTGTTTCCTCCCACTATTTGGTTTCTGAAAAGCCAAATCACTGGAGAAAATGAAGAGCAGAGAACTATATCTTTAGAGGATGATGACCGGCCTGCACAAGGCTTTGGTAACTCATAAATTCCTTAGTGTGATCGTTGTGGAGATATAAATATTTATATGTGAACTTGTAGAAACCTTCATCCCCAAATAGTAAGGATCAGGACCCTTTTGAGTATTTATCTAAAATAATTTTACGAAGAATAAAGAGAAATGATGCACCACTGTAGGTAGACTCTCCAACATCTGCGCTTGGTGTTAAGATGGCTTGTAGGATGTTGCATCTGTGTATCCGTGTTTGCAATTGAGATAATTATACTAGCTGGTTTAATCCACTGAGCACCATTCCCATGAATGTTTTTCTGAATCTAATCTTTGCAAAGCACCCAAGTAACAAGGGATATCATTCAGTTAGTGAAAGGAAAATTGGATTGTGATAGGTCTCACTGTTTTCAATGAAAGGTAAATAATTCATTGTTTAATACTGTA